CTGCAACATAACAAAATTGAAAAAAGTGAAGGGTGTCTGAATACTTTCCGAATGCACTGTACATAGGAAAACAACACTTCCTTTTTTTGCTGGTCATTCATCATGCCTTTTGCAAAGAAAGCAAAGAAAGTACCAAGTTCCAGCCCAAAGGGTTTTCCATTGGATGAGGACAGAAGGTTGGCAAAAAACATCTAAAAAGATGGTAACCTGAAAGCCAGTTTTAGACAAACACTGTGCATTTCAGTCTATTTAGCCAAGCTCTAATTTCTCAAGCAAGGTTATATCCACTGATTGATAGCACTATCTTACATTAATGTGGTATTGTGTGATGGGACTGCACTTCCCCAGATAGAACTAGTGCACATTTTGGGGGGGGGGAGTGTCTTCCTGGATTCTCATGAGGTAACTATGGCCAAGGGGCAACTATGGCCAGTAAGACCTTTACATAAGGTTCATCTCACATGTCAGTTGAGCCCGTTTCTGGACCAGGAGGTCCTTTTTATTGTCACTCATGGCACACCTTGCATGTGAACTGCAATGGGCCTGCCCTTGAAGGCAACTCAGAAACAGCTGGTCCACAATGCAGTGGTACAATCAGTTATGGGCATGCCATGGTATGCCCTGTGCAAGCTGTACTGGTTACCAGTAGGCTTCCAGATACAATTCAAGGTACTGGTTGTCACCTATAAAGCCCTATGAGGCACAGAGTCTAACTCTTTGAGGGATTGTCTCTCTCCTGTTGTTTCTACCTATTTGGTAAGATCATACAGAATTTAGCAATGTCATTTGATGGGACCCAGGAGGCATACCTTCACTGTCATGGTCCCTGCCCTCTGAAATAGCATGAAATAGATTCACACTGCCTGACCCTGCTGTTTTTTAGGTATGCCTTAAAGTCCTGGGCTTTTCCCCAGGCTTTGAGCTAGAGTGGGATGCAGGCTGCCAAAATGAAGGGGGTTACAGCTTTTTAGTGGATGTTTGCTTTACAGGGATGACCATCTTCCTCTTCTGCTGTCTGATATTTTATATCCTTGTTCTTAATGTTGTATGTCTCCCAAAATTAAGGAGTTGGGCAGCCGTGGAAATGTGAAATAGGTGAAAAATAAACTTGTAACATACTGTAGTTCCCCACCCTCCAACTCTTGGTGGGCTTAGAAAGTCAGTGCTTCCAAACATGGCTCTCCATCAACATTATGAGAAGAGCAAAGCATTACACTTTTAGCAACATTTAAGAAACATAACAATGTTTAAAGGCAGAGAAAACACCAGCCATTGCATCAGCCAATCTACATATAATACAGGTTTTAATTGTACAGTAAGTTCTGGGTGTGGAGTAGCCAAAATGTCTTGAGCTGTGAGTATCCTGCAAACCCCCATGTGTTCTCAAAATCAATCCATACAGACTACCAGTTCCAGAAGGTTAAGCACATTCTTTTTATTGCTTACTATGTGTTGTTACACAACTGAGATATTTCATTTTAAAAGTGTTAAGGGATTTTAATTATCATAGTTTTAATTTTGTAAATTTACTTAAAATATTTGTTGCCACTTTTTAATTTGCAAAAGTATTGAAATGGGATAGTGTAATTATAAGCTTATATAAGGGTATGTTTAGCTAGTTCTTCCTTGGGTTACAAAGATTCAAGGCCAAAATAGATGAACTACTAAAATGCTTTTGAAACTGATACAAGCATACTACTCAAATACATTTCAGTTGAAGTTATCCTTTTAGAAATTTCTCAAGTAATTTTGTCTCTTTTTTTATAGATCGGGTTGCTCAAAGGCCATTGTGTAAAGGAATAGGTATGAATAGGTATGAATTTCATCAATAATGTTTATCTGAGGTAAAATGGATACTGCTATGTTGCTTTCCTTGGGTATTTGTATTTTAAATTATTTTCCTTCTAGTAAATATGTAAAGAAAGATCTTTTTAAAGAAAACTCATGTCAGCCTAGTTTTTTTATTATGTTCTGCTATAAAGGGTGCAAAATGCTGTTTATCAATTTACTGCCATTAAGATAATATGGGGTAGAAACTGGAAAAATGTTTACCTACAGAAATGAGTGATTTTGGAAGCAAAAGAAATGGATAACTTGACAAAATGTATTAATGTAAAAACTAGTAATCTACATATAATAAGCACAGCACACAAATAGTCTAGTTTTATTTATTGGATCAACTGAAAGCACGTCCAGCTAAACAGACTTCATTTTGTTATAAACAGATATATCTAAGGCTTTTCCTTATGTATGTTGCATACAACATTAGTGTATGTATTGCAGATATTTATGTATGATATTTTTAAAAAATGAAAACGATGGTGAGGGAAGAGAACAGAAAGTTTTTGGAATTCATTTATGACAATGATTTACAAAGACTTAGAATTAAGATCAACAAACTGAAGGTGTCAGCACAAATGTGATCCCTATCTGACAAAAGAGAAATACTCTCCAGCAGTCCAAGGTAATGCAGGGTAGATTTTAACCAGTTTTCTTGTTAAGTCCAAATGTTTCTGTTAAAACTAGCTGCTAATCTAGAACTTGGAACGTAAGGGATGGTTCTCAAATTTTCTTACTTTCATAAAGTTGGTCACATATGGAAGCATATTTGATTTTTTAAAATTATTGTCTTACTATTCTGATTATATTTAAACAAACATATGTCAAAAATGATTTTCTTATAAGTTACTGTGATTTCAAGTGGCCTTAGTCTTCTTTATTTTAATGCAGGAAACACATAAGAATGGCAGTGTAAATAAGAAGTTTGCAAACGTGTAAAAAAGCAAGCAACATCCCCACAAGACTCCAGGAAAAAAAAAGAAGTTAAAAGTTGTGACACTGATGACATGAACATACTCAAAGCAATTCTCCCCCTCCCTAAAAAATATGGTCCTCAGGCACCAAAATGTTGTCCATTCCTGTCTTAAAGGTAATTTTCTCATGTCCTATTAATAATAATAGGCCTGTTACTAATAATTGGATACAGAACTGAAAGTTCTGGCAGGTATTTTAACGTTAACTATTAACAGGAATCATCTGAAGGAATGTATGTAACAGCTATATGGGAGAGTTCCACATAACATACCTGGCTGGAAAAACCAATGCAGAAGTTTCTCATTGTCGCCAGCTGCTGTGTGGTGTAGAAAGAAGATTCAGAATAAAACCTTTTTGAAGCATTTCTTACTGATTGCATGGATAAGAAGAGAGCAGGCCAGTTATGGTCAGAGTTCCACTTCAGTTAGTGATCTTCAGCAAAAACAGACCCAGAGTGAATCTAAGCAATTTCTAAAATTCTGTAAGCTCTTACAGCCACATAGAAGACAACTTTTAACAGCAGCTTGTATTAATATCAGTGCACTGGAAATACAGTTCATTGGCAAGGCTTCTGTTGAAGAAAAAGACACTTTTGGGGAACTAGTAACAGCTCATACCATGCAGCCTGCTGTATGCTAACGAAGAGCTACTGGCCTCCTCTATCAATATGCCAGGCAGGCACAGAATTCTTGCACTGGCAAAAAGGATTACAAACTTTTTACAATCCCTAGACCCCGG